GAGAGCATACAGGTGCATCTTTCCTCTAGCCCTGCTGTTTGATCATGTATGTGAGTATGCCTAGTACCATAGTGGCTTAAAACAAATGCTAATTTCCTGCTCTCTACTCACACCAAATAAAACACTACAAAAACGAACCCATGTAATGGTACCATCTAAATCCATCTGGGAGAAGTTATAGTCAGACATTAATGCTATTCCTTGTTGGAACTGGCAGTTCAACAGTTTTTATTTTCTTCTTCACTGGAGTTTGTGGTATGTGCTATACTTGTTTGAGGGATGGTTCATTTTATCCGATCACAAGCCTTTCGAGAAGAATGAAGAAAGCCTACAGGATTTATGGGACGCCATTAAGTGAACAAAGATTCATCCATGGGCATGCATCCAGAAAGGAAGCTGAGAAAGGGGAAAAGGTTGTAAGAACATAGGAAAATTTAATGAAATAAAGCCTGAAAACTGTCCTTAAGTCTTGGTAAAGAGATAGACATACAGATTCAGGAAGCTCGAAGAATCCCAGATAGATTCAACCCAAGCAGGTCCTCTCCTGGACACATTATAATCAAATTGTGAAAAGACAAAGACAGAGAATTCTAAAAGCAGCAGGAGAAAAATGCAAGTCACCTATAAGAGAGATCCCCATTAGACTAACGGATTTCTCAGCAGAAACCTGTAGGCCAGGAGAGAATGGAAGTAATATATTTAAGTACTGAAAGAAAAAAAAAAAAAAACTTTCAGCCAATGAATACTTCATCAGCACCAGCAGCAAAGCTATTGCTTCAGAATACAAGGGAGAAATCAAAATCTTTCACAGAGCTAGCACGATCTAAGGAAGCTCATCCATAGATCCAGCTTTAGCAAGAAAAAGCGCAAGGGATCTGTGTTTAAACTCTGGAAAGTGAACAAACGGAATGACACACCACCATCATGAAAACATAGGGGACTATGAAACTCACTGGTAGAGGCTGGTGGTACACAAAGGAGAAAGAGAAAGGAATCAAACCTCATCACTGTAGGAAACCACCCAAACACAAAAATAAGCAACAAGAGAGGAAGTAAGGAACAAAGGATATATAAAACAATCAGAAAGCAATTAATAAATGATAAGTCCTCACCTATCAATAATAACCCTGAAAGTAAATATATTAAATTTCCCATTTAAAAGTCTATGCTGATTATATGGGGGTGGGGGAATTCAAGACCCAACAATATGCTGCCTACAAGAAACTCACCTCACCTGTAAACACACACATGAGACCAAAAGTGAAGGAATGGAAACAAATATTCCACTCAAAAACCAAAAGGGAGCAAGGGTAGGTATACTTACTAATATATCAGACAAAGCAGACTTCAACTCAGAAGCTGTAGAAAGAGACAGAGAAGGACACTATATAGCAATAAAAGGATCAATCCAGCAAAAGACAGTATAACAATTGTAATGTATATGCACCCAGCAAGAGACCGTAACACTTGTAAATTTATGTGCACCCAACACCAAAGCACCCAGATATATAAAACAAATATTTTTAGCTCCAAAGGGAGAGATAGACCTCAATACAATAATAGTTGGGGACTTCAACACCCACTTCAGCGTTGGATTAAGATTGTCTAGACAGAAAATGAACAAAGAAACGTTGGTTTAAACCACACCACAGATCAGATGAACTGACAGACGTTTACGCAACGCTTCCCCGCAGCTCAGGATTTACCCATCGACCCCTCATCTCAGGACTCAGGGCCACCCGGCAGGTGGGGGAAGGAGGGGAGTGGAGAAGAGAAATAAATCTAGGAGGCTGGTTTAGACATAGGAGAACTAGCAGTTACCAAACATCTTAATAATGTTTATTGTTGTCAAAAAAAAAAAAAATCCTGGATCAGAGAAAAGGAAGAAAGAAAACACACACATGACAACCAAGAGCTCCCATTCCGAACAAGGCCTGCAAAGCGCGTTCACGGCGCAGGAAGTCCAGAGCGTACGAAGATGCGCTAAAGCCCTCTCCTCATTTGGGGAAAGATGACTGATCTTGACGCGTCTAAGAAATGAGTAGTCAAGCATGATCACCATAAGGACGGAATCAGAAGAAATAATTTTGAAATTGGTAACAAAAAAAAATCTATCCAATAAATACTAAAAAAAAATCACTCAATGATCTAAAAAAAAAATCTATCCAATGAAATACTAAAAAAAAAAAATCTATCCAATGAAATACTAAAAAAAAAAACTATCCATAGAAAATAAATATATTAGAAGAATAATCTATCCAATGAAATACTAAAAAAAAATTATCAATGAAAATAAAAAAAAATTATCCAATGAAATACTAAAAAAAAAAAAGATCTATCCAATGAAATACTAAAAAAAAAAATCTATCCAATGAAATACTAAAAAAAAATCTATCCAATGAATACTAAAAAAAAACTATCCAAGAAATACTAAAAAAATCTATCATGAAATACTAACAAAAATCTATCAATGAATAATAAAAAAAAAAAAAGATCACCAATGAAATACAAAAAAAAAAAAAAAGAAAACAAGACAGGATAGTAAGTGAAAAGAGGGAATCGAATGGTAGAAATGTACATGTTCAATTCTCCCATCCAAGTACTGACCAGGCCCGACCCTGCTTAGCTTCCGAGATCCGACGGGATCGGGCGTGTTCAGGGTGGTGTGGCCGTAGACTATGTGTTCAATTCTAATAAAAGAACAACTGCAACAAACATAACCGATGGAAAAAGGCAAGGACTCTCACATGAGATAAACATGTGAAGTCGAACAGTGCGTTTTCTTTCAGGGATGAGGAGGTAACGGTCACAGCATCTGATAGAATAGAGTTCAGGGCAAATCAGCTCGCTAGGTATGTTGCGTACGAACGCTAAAAGAACTATTGAGGTGAGCAGCGGAGCGGGTAGTTACCAGGCCACCGGTGATGCAGTTTAGTGACAGTGTGAAAGGACACGGAGGGGCGGACAGAACTGTCCCCGGGCCCAGGAGGGCAGCGTCCTGCGCACCTGCCGTCCGAGCCCTCTGCACGGTGGAGCTGGCTCGCTCACTTGCGCGTGCAGAGCAGCCGGTGGTGCAAAAGCTCTTCCGCTCCGTGAGACGGGCGAGGTGGAAGGGGGAGAGTGGAGGAGAGGTGGGCACATTCAGGCTTTTGATTTACCAGGATCTTCCTTCCTCCAAGACATTGCAGAGTGTTGGTGAAACTTTCTCCTGAGGACGGTCCTCGGTCATGACGCCCATGAAGCCCAGATACGGACGGCAGTCGCCGGCGGTTCACCGTGACCCGGCTTCGGAGAGGCCAGGCGGGCGCGGTGGGGCAGGGCTGGGGACTTTCTGGACGAGTCAAAACCTGCCGGGGCCTGCAGGGGCCGAAGGACGAGCGAGAGGGGCCGGACGGCAGAGGGAGACAGAGAAGGGAGACAGAAGTTGTAGAGAAGCAGTAAGGAGGAAATGGCTGCAGAAACCCGAACAGAGGCAATGGCTATTTCAGTCGAACGGGACGGGGCGACCAGGCCGTGGAACACCGGGTGCAGGTCAGAGAGCGGAAAACGCTAGAAACAGTCATGGGAACATGCCCCTTTTCAGGCATGGCCACACCTGGAAAGAACTCGGTCCCTAAGCAGTGGCGTATGGTTATGAGTAATCACAACTAACCTTTGCCTGAATGCAAAGCGTATCAAAAGGAAAACACAGAAGCAGACAGGGTCCTCTCCACGCAAGGAGACGGACCCCTTCCCCTCAGGGAATGCGCTTCCGCTTTGCACACTTGATCTTTGCTTGCGGCAAATCCTTTTTTTTTTTTTGGAGACAGAGTCTCACTCTGTTTCTCAACCTAGAGTGCTATGGTGTCAGCCTTGCTCACAGCAACCTCAAACTCCTGGGCTCAAGCAATCCTCCTACCTCAGCCTCTCGAGTAGCTGGGACTACAGGCATGCACCACCATGCCTGGCTAATTTTTTCTATATAAGTTGGCCAATTAATGTTTCCTTATTTTAGTAAGAGACAGGTCTCACTCTGCCGTCAGCTGGTTTCGAACTCCTGACCTCAACAATCCTCCACCCTCAAGCCCTCCGAGTGCTGGAGACAGCATGACCGCGCCGCCGCCTCGTGTAAATTCACGGCACACTGCGAGTGTCTGGAGTGTCTGTCATCTCTCCCTCTTGCAGGCCAAAAAAGGGGGGGGGGGGGGGCCGAGATCCTGCCAGCCTGGCCGGGACACACCTCAGATCCTCTGAGCCGGGACGGGCCCTGCACCTGGTGGCTGAGTGTCAGAGGCTCGGGGGTGGGGTGGAGTGGGAGGGGTGGGTGGAGTGGGAAATGGGGATGAGGTGGAAGTGGGATGGGTTGTGAGTGGGGATGGTGTGGAGTGGGATGGCTGAGTGGAGTTGATGGGTGGTGAGTGGGGATGGGTGTGGCGTGGGAGGTGGGGAGTGGGGATGGGGGGAGTGGGGGGGGGAAGGGGAGGGCGGGCGGAGTGGGAGGGAGGTGGATGCCGATTTGGTGGATGAGTGGGGATGGGGGTGGTGAGTGGGATGGGTGGATGAGTGGGAGGCGGGGATGATGGGGATGGATGGAGTGGATGCGATGGGGGGAGTGGGACGGGTGGGTGGAGTGGGATGGGTGGGTGACGTGGATGGGTGGGGTGGAGGTGGGGGAGTGGGGTGGGTAGTGGAGGTGGGGTGAGTGGGTGGGTGGAGTGGATGGTGGGGTGAGTGGATGTGGGGGATGGGAACGGGGTGGGTGGAGTGGATGTGGTGGGTTGGCTCCTTCGCCTGGGCCTGGCCGTGATGATTCGGGTATTCATCTCTCTCCTCTCTCCGACCCGGGAACACCAACTGGGGAGCTCGGAACAAAACGCAGTGAATCTAGCAGTCAGGGTATGCCATCCTGCTTAACATTGCATGCGTGGGGCATGGGGTCTAGCGATTTAACCTTCTCACTTTCAAAGTTTCAGGTTTATCTTCTGTCCGGCCGGAGGAGGGACAACGTGGCTGAGGTGGGTGGAGCCTGCGGCCCTGAGCCAAGGCCGGGGTCACAGGTGCCGGAGCTTTCCCGGAGCGGATCCGCTGGGGAGACCGAGCCCCCGGCATTTGCTCAGGCAGAGTTGTAAGGGTGCTGACAACGCTCTTGGCTGGGGCCACAGGCAGGCGGAATCCAGCCGTGGAGTGACAGGTTCTGGAACCAGTCTAGGGACAGCTTGGTTTTCCAGCCCTGCCGCCCGAGACCAGGTTGGCGTTAAGGCCCCAGCTCACCGCCCAGCTGTGGACGGGAGCGTCCGGGTCAGGTGGACACCAGCCGCCTTTGTCTGAAGGTGACTCGAGAGAGACGTCGACCGTTTTATACCCCGAAAACTGCTGCGTGGTTCGTCCCTGCGGCTGCCAACACGGTTTCTCGCTGTTTTCCTTCTGCAGGTCTGCGTTTCTCGTTCCAGGGTCTGATCGTAGGAGAAAATCGCCTTCGCGTATGGCTTCCTCACCGGTGACTGCCTTTGCGGGTTCTCTCAGGAGCTCGATCAGACCCTTGACATCTTTCCCTGGTGTCTTTTCAGCTTCCGACGGCGCCTAGAAAAGTCCCGGCTCCGCTGCGTTAGTTCAGTAGCGACTCAGGTGACTGAGCCTGCCTGCCGTTTGCGTGAACTAACTGGGATGAGCCGGAAGGAGCCCCTGAGTGACAATATGACATTTTCAGATTGAGCAATTAAGGCAGGGCTGCCCTCAGGGAGCTCCTCCTTCAAACAGGGTTTGTGTTGAAGCCAACTTTTTTTTTTTTTTTTTTTTTAAGACAGAGTCTCACTTTGTTGCCCAGGCTAGAGTGAGTGCCGTGGCGTCAGCCTAGCTCACCAGCAACCTCAAACTCCTAGGCTCAAGCGACCTCCTGCCTCAGCCTCCCAAGTAGCTGGGACTACAGGTGTGCACCACCATGCCCAGCTAATTTTTTGTTATATTTTTTAGTTGGCCAATTAATTCTTTCATTTATAGTAGAGACAGGGTCTTGCTCTTGCTCAGGCTGGTTCCGAACTCCTGACCTCGAGCAATCCGCCCGCCTCGGCCTCCCAGAGAGCTGGATTACAGGCGTGAGCCACAGCGCCCGGCTGAAGCCAACTTTTTAAATAATGTGCATACCCTCGCCTCAGCCCTAACGGATGGGAGAAACTACGACCCTCCAAACGTTTGGGGTCTGGTGTGACCATGACACAGGACTTCGCCTCACAGACAGCAAGACACTCTAGCGCAAATAGCTTAACAGTACTGCCCGAAATAATTATCCGAGGACCGGCTGACGAAAGCAGGGAGAGCCCCTTCTCTGTCCCTCCTCCCCTGGCTCCTTATAATCAGCCTGAGCAAATAAAACAGAATTTATAAATCACCGAAACCGGGAAGAAGGCTCAAGCACGGATCGGGCAGCCCTCTGAGGAGTGGCCGTCCAGGTGGTGATACCGAACCAGAGGGAGGGGGAGGGGCCGAGGGAGTTCTAGGGTTAAGAACTTTCAGAAGGAGGTCAGAGTCCTGAGTGGCCAAGGGTGGAGCCGGGATGGCCGCGGGGCCGCGTGTGACAGCAGAGGCCACCGCTCTTGTCCTGTCCAAGGGCGGCCCGGGCCAGTGAGGTTGGAGGCGTCTGTAAGGGCGTTTTTTCCCTTCCACGTGTTCCTGAGATTGCAGCTGTCCAGGTTGATCTCTTTTTGTTGCATTCTAGCCTCTTCTACAATGTTCATCGGGTAAGGCGCTGTCTCTGAGTGCCTGCCGCTTAATTGTAAGACTAACGGATGAATGAAACCAATATCTGTCTGCCAGTTCAGCCTACTGGAGTGATCCTCCCCTGAAACCGCACTCTCTGCGAGCCTTCTGCTTGTCCGCCTTGGCTTCCTCCCCTGGCCCAGATGCCAGCAAACCTCCTTTTTGTCAACCCTCGGTGGCCACTGACTTGCTGGTGGTGGCACCCCGGGCCAGGCAGCCCCCCAACACCAACAGGCACCCTCCCGCAACCGCCAAGTCTCGAGAACCCTTGCCCCCGGGATCCGCCCTCCAACCTTCACTGGCCGCCATCCCCCTGAGGACAGGACAGAGCGGGTGGCTCTGCTGCTCCACA